TCTCTCTCTCGAGATCGGCTCGTCCCCGTCCTCGTTGGCTCGTCGCTGCTAGGTCAATCTCTCTCTCGATCTCTTCGTCTCTCTCTCCCGATCTCTCGATCTCTTTGTCTCTCTCGACCGATCTCTTCGTCTCTCTCTCTCTCTCTTCGTCTCTCTCTGGATCTCTTCATCTTTCTCTCTCTCTCTCTGATTCTCTCTCTCTCTCTGAATCTGTCTCTCTTTCTCTCTGAATATACATATGAAGATTTTATTGTTTTCAAGTGAATTTATTGTTAATTAAATTAGGGTTCCATTTAATTAGGGTTATTATTACATTTTAAATTTATCTATATATAATAATATTATTAAAAAAAACTAGTCGTGTCGTCGTGTCCTATTTTTTTGGGTTTTGTTGTGTCCGTGTCCGTGTCGTGTCTGTGTCCGTGTCCGTGCTTCATAGCCCATGCCCAAAGAAATAAAAGGAAAATCTTTTACGTTTGGATGGTAAAGTTTCTATACCACTAAAAGAACGTTTACAAATTTTTTATGAGTCTCTAGATTTCTTTTCCATGTTTGTATAGTTATTCAATTACCATAAGGTACACCTGCTAATAATCCTAGCCGTTTTTAAGAAGCTTCACTGTGATCTAAAAATGTCCTTCTGAAAGTCAAGAAATAAACTGTCAGCAGTCTTAGACTTGAAATGTTAATTTGTAGGGATTTGTATTGAGTTGACTCTTAGTGTAGTAACGGAATTGGCAGATTTGCGAATGGTGAGGGTCCACCTCACCTAGCACATGTTGATTTAGTTATTCCCCTTATTTCTAATATATATTATTAGTTATTGACCTTATTTCTAATACATATTTATCACCAATAAATACCTAAAAGTAACAACTTTCGTTATTTGGGATCAATCATTGGTAATAATGGTGAGATTGAGGATGATGTTGCCCATCAATTCAAATCATCATGGTCAAAATGGAGGAGTGCTTCGAGAGTCTTATGTGATTGTAGAATACCTATGAGACTAAAGAGAAAATTCTATAAAACAATTATAAGACCAACAGTGCTTTTTGGGTCTGAATGTTGGCCAACTAAGAAACAACATGTGCAAAAAATAAATATAGCAGAAATGAGAATTTCACGATGGTATTATAGGTATACATTAAAATAGAGGATAAGAAACAAGTGCATTCGCCTTAAATTAGAGGTTGCTCCAACTGAGGATAAAATGAGAGAGAATACACTAAGGTGGTTTGGTCATATACAACGGAGACCTCTTAGTGCACAAGTTAGGAAATGTGATAATATTGTAGTTAATGAGACAAAGAGATCTAGAGGTAAAGCGAAAAGAACTTGGTTAGGAGCAATTAAGAAGGATATGATAATAGTTAATTTAATGGAGGAGATGACTCATAACAGAACGAAACGGAAGAATAGGATTCATGTAGCCCGCCCTAAATATTTGAGATAAAAGCTTTGTTGTTGTTATAATATGAGGACAAATAACATCATTAGTACTAAAAAGTTAAATTCAGGAGCATTTTACAAAAGAGCATTTCTTATTTCATAAGTTATTTTTTGGTGTTTTTGCCTACACCCCAAAGTTTTACCACCATTTATTTTTAAACACACTTACTTCTATATATACCCATACACCCAAAAAAAACTCTTTTTTAAGCCCAAAACTTCAAATACATTTATACTTATTCAATATTTACAAAGGAAAAATCAAAAACCCCAACAATGCTCGTCTTCTTCATCCTCTCTCGTTACTAACTCATTATTCCCCTTCTTATTTTCTCTACTCGCTCCTCTTTTTGGTTGGTCTCCCTCCCGTCTTCTCTACCACCCCTCCTCCCTCTCCTCCATAGCTGCATCCCTCTCTCCCCCTAAACATCTTTTCTCCTTCATCTCACCATGGACTTACATCATCATCTCCTATCTCTCCTAATAAATCTTCTCCTGTTATTCTCACAATAGAAAGAAACACCCACCAAGTTACATTTATTCCTATCATATAACAATTTATTGCATATGTTATAGCACCTTAAGTTGTAAGTATAGCAACTTAAGCTGTAAGTATAAGATGTAAGCACATGATGATGATGAGAAAGTGGAGGAGGTGGATGGTTGGAGAAGTGAAATGAGAGGGCGGAGGAGATGGAGGAGAGCGGCAGAGTGGGTGGTGGGAGGCCCAAAAAAAAGGGATAGAGAGAATGGAGACAGTGAGAAGAGGGAGAATAATTGATTATGGGTAAAGAAAGAGGAGGAAGAAGACAAGGAAATATTAGGGCTTTTTATTTTTATTTTGTAAATATTGAATATATTGAGTAAATATAAAATGTATTCAATGTTTTAGACTTAAAGACAAAAAGAGAATTTTTTGGGAATATAGGTATATATAGAACTGAGTTTAAAAATAAATGAGGGTAGAATTTTGGGTTTAAAGGCAAAACCCCCCTTTTTTCTTCCTGAATTAAAATATCCAACTTTATTTATGAATATAGTGGTCAGATTTTTCTCCTTATAAGTTATAACAAACGGTCAAGATAAAAAAGGCTATACATCTTAAATTATATCTAATGTGATGTGAATAGAACACAAAAGAATCACATGATTTCCCCCGTCATCTTAACTCCTTTCTAGTGGAGAATTCTGTTGGCCCTCCCTGGCTACCGTAGCTTAAACTGTATCACAACACAAGTTAGGTAATTTTTTCCTTGCTCACCAGGCTAATTGCTCTTGAAGATTGTACAACAATTCCCCCTCCAGCCAATAGTTGCTCATTCAGGAATTTGACACTAAAGTATTTAGGATTGAGGTTTCATGTCAGGTTGCTACCCTGCTACAAAGTTTAGTTATCCTTTCCATATAACCTTCTCCTCATATAGCTATCCGTTAATCCAATTTTCTTCAGAAAAGAGCTGCCATGATAAAGGTGATGATATAAAAAACATCAGGATAGTACTCTAGTCATATTTGTGTAGATCCATGTAAACATCGCTTTGGTTCATGAAATAACCAAGACAAACTTAACAACAATACACTGAAGAGGTTCAGATATATTTTTTATTAGTGTTCACCAATTCACTGCGACCCGCTCGAATTTCGATTCAGTTCTTCCATACCTATTCACGAGGTGAACCTAATAAGGTTTGCAAAAATTGGCAGCAGAAAATAGAAGTAAAGAACTAATGTTTAAATTGATTAACTGAGCTCTTTGTGTATAAAGCTAATATTCAGACTTTTCTCAATAAACTTATTTGCAGTTTTCAATGCATACATTATAACATTTGAAGTTTGAACTTTGTTTGCTTCACACAGTCAGAACAGCAGCCGTGACCTTACCAGGAACAGAGTGGTGATATTTTTTGCAAAGTTTTAGTTTTGTCTTTGGAGAGGAAAGAGTATAGAGGATGAGAGTTTGTCCGTAATTGATCAATTTGGTTATTAATGATAACTAACTTTAATACCAAAAAGAAAAAGGTAATCGTGATCTTAAACTAAGTAGATTGCCTTGCATGTTTTCGAAGATGACTATTACCATAATCCATAGTTTTGCCTGACTTCAAATGTACATGACTAATTGTCAGAATGGCATAATACTGCTCTCAAGTGTATACCGACACCAAATGCCAACCCAATTAAGTGTACCCCTTTCAAATCACATATAATGTAGGCACAAAGCATACAAAAAACTGCTTGCAGTGATATAATAGCACACTGGTATATATGCATATGCAAAGAACTTGGACCAAGACAAATGCATAAACTCGCTAGTTTATAGTTGATAGAACTAACCCTTTTACTGGTGCTACATATTCCCATATCCGAGGTTTAGCATCCCTATCCTTGCATATCTGGGACAATCACGAGAGAAGAAATATTCTCTAAATATGTAAGAACAAGAGGAGTCGTATAGGCAAAAGTGAGCAATCTTTAACCAGAGGTTACCTGTAGACCCACTACATCATCTGTTGCCAAAAGAGTTATCAAACCATAATCAGAATGTGCTCCAGCTCCATATATTCCCCTTCCTGGATTGGAAACTTTGCCTGGTAATGAAAAAGGATGACCTTTAGGACATTAAATGCATCATCCGGAGGCACACACAGAAGAACTCAAGGCATAACCTGTAACTGATCTTACACCTTCATAGTGTAGGAGTCTCAGTACTGCAATGGGATCACCAAGCATTTCTGGTTTATCAAAGAAGCCAGCTTCCAAGTCAAGTGCAAGAGCTATGATCCGAGCGACTTCTCTTGCAACCGTCCTGTATATTATAGATATGTGTTTTCATATAAAGTGGGGAGTCAATCAATTCTAATGCAAACTCATACGCTGAATAATGCAGAAATTGAAAGGCCATGCAAGCTTTCTTCTAGCAGATTAGCAAATGTATGGTATATGCACGATTAATCAAAAACATGAACATCATCAATGTCTCCTAGGTATCATTCAGTCAGTTTCCATCCATACAACTAGGATAGAGCAGATCCCTGCTTTTTTGGAGAATTCAGGGGCCTTAACCAAAATTAACATTGACCATAGACACAAACTGATGTGTACATGATTAAAAGCTACGGAAACATTCAAGAGGACCCAAGAAGATCATATCTGAAGGGAACAAGTTTATTCATGACCACTGAAGCAGCATGAGGTTTTTTTTAAGCAAAATCCGTTGGTACAAATCAATGTTTAGGGAGGTACATATCTGCAATAAAGTGGATGCTTCTATAGAATGATAATATTCTAAGAACATATTCATATTATTGCTTCGCTCAATTTATAATATATAGGTACATTTCAACTCACTTTGCTTTATTTAAGCTACGCGATTGTATGAAATGTTTTAAAAAGCGCCTGCCTAGGCGTGCACCTAAGCCTAGGCGATACCTCAGCCGCCCGCCTAGCGCCTAGCGGTTAGGCAATACCTAGGCTGCTCACCTAGGTTTTGGGAGCACCTAGGGAAGCATGGTCTGCCTACATGGATTGCACCCTTTAAACCTTGATCGCGATTTTCTCCGTTACAGCCTCCATGTCCTCCAATCTCCTACTATAAACACCTCCTCTACCTCCTCCGATCCTCAGTAAAACCTAATCCACCACCACTGAAGAAATATGCCTAGATGCCAGTCAAGCGCCAAAAAGTTTTTCTATAATGTTGGCATTTACTATGAACAATGGTAATGAAAAATAAAAAATAGGAAAAACACCTAGGCTCCCACATACTAGGCTCTAGGCGTCATGTCCAATGCCTAGGCCGCATAGAGCTTTATGTAACCTTGATTTTATGAACAAACAAACAATAAACACAAAGATCAGGCCTAAAATATTAAGAAAGACGATAAGCAAAGTAAAACAGAACCCAAACTGTTTACTAAAAAAGAATATTAATAATGATATTGATACCTGCATTTGGAAAACGTCCAGAAACAAGTTGATTGTGAGGTACATTAAAGTTTGGGTGGACTCATGAACTTGGCAAAGTAAGCTGTAATTAGTTCTGCACCAACAAGGACAATGATACCCCCATACTCTCTTAAGTTCCCTAGTTTAACGTCGAATTGAGTCCCAAACTTATTAATCATTCTATCTACACAGATCTAATTAGGTGGATATTGCTGAAGTACCCAAAAGTGACAAAGAACATTCATCATTCATAACCGCAGGTTTCTGCGGAGAGGGCAGTGTTGAAGGAACATGGAAGTGACCAAGTAATTAGTAGTGCAGATAAGTGACCAGATCGTCAGAATATGAATATGATAGTACCTGCAAGTGAAGAAAAGAGAAGTCCAAGGTATTCGCCTTACTTGATCATAGTCCTTTCTCATTCTTTCACCTTCCTCTGCGCTTTTCTCTAAGAGTGAAACTCTAGCTAGGACCAAACAGGTGTTGGCCACAACCATTTCAAAACAGCTTAGTTGTTTCAGTTTCAGATCACTTTTTCTGCTAAATTTTTTCCCTCTTGGCCATATATTTCTCAGACCATTAAGCTGAATAGATGAAGCTCTTGTGCATACTATAATATAACCACTCCTTTTCCTTGCATTATGTTTGTGGTATATTCATCTTAACAAAATCAGACTCTGCAATGGCTCCATAAGCTCAACTCTCATCAAATTTATCTGACCTATATACTGAAGCACAAGGGTAACTTCCTAGCATGATATGATCATTCTTTATTTTTTTTAATCTTGACCATGAAGCATAAAGCTAACTTACTCTTGATATTAATTACGTTTGAAATTTAAAACTCTAGTATGAGCATCCTAAAAGCAGCTTTTGTTTTCAAAATATTCCATCCTCGTCATTTAATAATTAAATGACAATATCTTGTTTACCAGATACCTTTCATAAATGATAAATATTCAAAGAACAATAATAACGATCAAATGGGACATCTTGGTCTATCAAGTTTAATCTAGCTTCAAATACCCGTCATACTTTTGCTAATTTGGTGAAAGATGAGAAAACACATGAAGCAGGAAGATATTAAAAAAATAAAAGAAACTCACAATGCCTCTTTGTGATATTGCTCCATAGTCTGCCTCCATCCAGGTAATAAATCTAATTGTTACCAAAAAACAGGCACCAAAGTGGAGTTAGTGCAGCTTCAAGAAAATTATTCAAATAAAACAACAGTTCCTATTAATACACCATTTCACCTATGAAACAGATATGTAATAAACAAAAAGGATGGCATTCTCTAATATATCGCAAATAACCACTTAGGCTAAGAAGATGTCTGCATAAAATGCAAGGGTTGACAAAATTTAGGTTGTGACTGCGGAGATCTAGTACCCTGCATTTTTCCTGCTTTCTGAGCTAATAGAGACAGTTCTCAAGCTTCAGCTCCAACTGTAGAGACAAGCAACAAAATAATGTGGTGGTACTTAATGAAACATATTATATATCTCAGATAGATCAAAGTCAAGCCGTTGGAGTTCATAATATCCAATAGAATGGAGAACCAAGACAAATATATCGACTAGTTTCCCTAAACATGGAAACATATGTATAGCAATATGTAATAATTGCAACACTTATAAGAAACACAAAATCCTGGTAAGATCATAAATATAAACCAACACACGCCATTTGTTTCTGTTTGTTCTTTGGGTCTTAATTTCCATCGAGGTGAGTATGACTCCTAACAGTTTACCTCAGGACACTGTTCTGTCCTAGTCAAGGATGACTTGGAGGAATTCTCCTTGCATGAACTTAAGTTCCATCACCATAAAAAAAGATGCTCCTATGCAGGACGTCAAAACTGTCAAATAGGAGTCCTCTCAGAACTGCCTGTATGCGAGCGTGAGGTTCTGAGCTTTACACTGGGAGAGAGAAAATTACACATTTGTCCCCTATCCGATCCATGTAAGACTCAGAACCATCTGCTCGTATGCAGGCGGTTCTGAGAAAACTCAACTCGAAATTGTCTAGTAACTGGTTGCAACTCGTGGAATTGAACAAAAGTTGATGACAGGTCAAAGAAACTTAGTCAATTCCCTGTGAAGACTTCTCATCTTCTAAATCATGCTCTAGAAACCAACCAGATTTTGATCCAAAAATAAATGCAAAATAATCATAATAAATTCAAATGCGTACCTTCAGAAGGCCACAAATTTGGTCCAAAAAATGGTTTTTGTGCTTGTGGATCGTCTTCAGATACTTCAACTCCAATATAGTATCCTTCTTTATAGTCACCTGCAAGCAGAAGGGAAAATCTCAAATTAGATCCATATATCAACATAAAAAAGAAATGAAAAAGTAGATATTTTCCGTAGTCATATGATTTAACCTTGGATCAACAGGAGGCATGTATTTTCCTATTACGGATATGAATATACTAGGAGGATTCGTCATTATCAATAGATGATATATGTGACATGCAACAATATTCTAGAGCTATTTGACTAACTGAGCATAAACCAAGTTTCTCAAAACCAAAAGTTTGTAAATATCCACTGAACTATTTTAGCTTCTAGTATTTCATCCCATTCTTTTAACGCCTCGTTTGGTACGCGGGAATGAGTGATAATGGAATGCAATTCCAACTCTTTATTCATGCGTACCAAATATGATGTATTTTTAGACGCTAGAATTGCTATTCCCACTTCTTATCAATTCCCACTTTATGTGGGAATTGTTATTCCCAACCATTTGACAAAGAATTAATATTCCCACTTAAGTGGGAATAAAATAAACAAATAATTTCCGATTATACCCTCATTAAAAGATACGAATATATATAAATTCCCATATGAAAAATAATTTCTATAGAAATAATATCATTAGCTGCTCGTACAAATATATAAATAGATGTAAATATTAAAATATTATTCTTTGTTCGACTTTACTGTAGTTCCATCGAGTCTGTAGTAGAAAAAAATCTCATTCTCATCTTCGGCTCGATGCGACTCGGTTAGGTAACCATTATTTCTTTTTAAAATATGTATGTGTAGCTAATCTTTACCTAATCTTTACAGCAATTTTTTATCTTTTGACTACTCAGTTGCGTAATCTATTAGCAATTAGGTTAGTAAATATTTGATCGTTGGATGTATGATTTGAAGTTCCATTGAAGCATATGTGCCTAATCTTTTCAGTGATTTTTTCAAAGCACTCACAACAAGAAATAATGTGCTTAATTAATGAGATTAGAACTTTATATTTTGATTAGAGGTTAACATGTTTTCTATTCCTTCAAACTTTCTAGGTTAACATATTTTTTACTCCTAATCAATTGTTTGAAAGTTAAAGGAGCATTTGAAATTTCATAGAAATTTTATATACAGACTAAAAGTTAACATGTTTTTCTAATCCTTCAAATTTTAGTGTTTTCTTCTGATCTCTCTCTTCATGCATGCACATGGAATTCAGTCATAAATCATGCAGCATGCATATAGATTTCAGTCTATTATATATGTTTGTGCATAGTGATGCTAGTAGCATTAGTCGCTCGTACACGTAGTAGACATGTAGCGTTAAAAGTTAGAAATGTGGAATTATAATTATTTATAATCAAAAATAGTTTCTATGAAAAATATTTTTTAATTAGTAAACGAAAAGTCCAAAATTGTTGCTGAGGCGGTGTACCAAAATATAACTATCAACTGAAAAATAATTTCTATAAGAAAAAAAATGTCATTTCTATAAAACTTATTTTTCTAAAAAATAAATTATTTAGCCATTTTTAAAATATTTTTATCTTTTAGAATTCTGTGTTTTTGTAAGGGCATTATTAGAAAACTAAATTTTATTCTCACTTGTGAACAAATAATACCAAACATGGGAATGAGAATAAGATTGTCATTCCCGTTTCATTCTCTAAATGCGCTCAAACATGATAATGAGAATGCACATTCCATTATCATATCAATTCCATTTCATTCCTACATTCTTTCCATTCTCACTTGACTCCAATCCCGCGTACCAAACGAGGCGTAAACGAAAAGTGCAAGAATTCTCAAAACATTAAATCTTGGCTTCTTAAACAATGCAAAAGTTTTTTATAAGCATCTAAGGACATGGTTTTCATAATCCCCTTAAACTCCTTAACCAAGTTATTCTTACATAAATTTGAAGCCCAATTTAACAGATCCCTTAAGAAATTGTAATCTACAGTTGGCATTAACAATCCTCTGTCCTGGACACTTGATTCTTTTTTCTATGCTCCTCTTTCTCTCAGCCATCTCTTTTTATTTCAAAACCTTAAAATCCTAACCTACTCTTATAGTTCAAAACCTTAAACTCCTTTCTCTGTTTCTTATCTGTCTATTGGTGTACTTTTTAGGATAAGTTCTAAATGTGTTAAATCTCCTCTGGTTTACTAATCTGGGTCCGAATAATTTGGGATGTAGTTTAGAATTATAAAAGCACAATGCAGTTCCCGTGAATGTTTTTAGCAGCCCTTCTCTTTAATTCTATTTTTGTCTTCTTTGTTCATTTTCTCAAAGGGTCCACTACTATTTTGGATCCTCTCTTGTGTAACCTTTTAGTGGATGGTCCAAAGACATTAGTCTTAATCATTGTAGTGGAAACATTGCTAATTATGCAACCTTTTAGTGGATGGTTCTAGTACTTTGTGTCACTCTTCATCCTCTTTTAAACACGTCATAACAGCTATGAAGAACCTGTCACTTCTATCATTAAGCCATGCCAGATGTGTTGGAGTCCTTGTTGTGCTACTCATTATTGTTTTATGTGAACCTTGATAGAATATCCAGCATTCATAAGCCAAAGTTGTGTCATTTCCATATTAGCATGCTGCATATTAACATCCGTGCCCGTTTACGATTTGGATTGATTTCCTAAATTCTCAAGTTAAATTCTTATCTACTATGGTATTTTAACATTAGGTTTTTTTCAAGTCCTAGTTACAGACTTTAGTTTTTGGATAACAAAGGGGTTTCCAAGTGAACATGGCCTCACACATTACCAGAATAATACTACATAAAAGTCAAACCAGTCCACTTAATAGCAGAAAAACTACAAATAAAGCGCTTAGGCTGAACTATATTATCTAAAATTTAATTTCCTAAGTCTCATATTAATCCAAAATTCAGTCACAGGGCATTAAATAATCACCAGAAAATATATAATTAAATATATAATTTTAAAAAAAAAGTTTTTTTTATAAACCCAAAGTTTTTACCTAGATTTATTTTAAACCGACCTACTTTAAAAATCATTCTTAAATCCAAAACAGCAGTACTGAACTATTTTTAAAAACAAGTATAGCATATTAAACCAAATATTGCAACTTAGACCCAAATAGTTACTTACGCAACCAATATAGCAACTTAAACAACTGAAACAGAAACTGGCGTTTAAAAAAATAAAGGCTTAATGCCCCCCCCACCCGCCCCCCCCCCCCCCGCCCCTGCACAACCAAAATAACTTTCAGGGTTTGCTATATAAATACCCCTTAATGCCCCCCCCCCCCCCGCCCCTGCCAAACCAAAATAACTTCAGGTTTGTATGAAATTTACCCCTGCAAACCAAAATAACTTTCAGGGAATGAGGGTGAAGGGAAGTTAGGGGAACCATTCACCTCCATTCACCTTGTTTGGGAACACTTAGGAGGTGAAGTTAATTCACCTCCATTCACCTTGGTTCACCCCCTAATAGTATAAAAATTGTTACCTCCCAAATTGGGGTGTAACCAAGGGGAAGAGAATTCCCTTCCCTTCCCTTCATTTCCCTTCCCTTCCCTTCACTCAGTTTCCCTTAACTTCCCTTCATCCCCTACGAATCCAAACAGGCCCTAAATGTTAGTCCAAAATCTAAACTTTTGTCATAGGACACTCAAACAGTTCAAATCAATCCAAAGTGTCAGCAAAAACCCTAAAATAAATTCCCCAAAACAAAAATACCAACCATTGACTTGATTTTCTTGATCAAGGAGCTCATCCAGAATCGGCGTGTAACCTCGATGCTTCTCATTTCTAAGAAGCTTCATCTTCTCATCGTGCGGCAAATCGAAAAACCTCTTGCTTTGAGCAAAAACCTCGTCCATAAACTCTTGACTAATCCCGTGATCGACCACATAGAAGAACCCACAGTCCAAACAAGCCTGATTTGAGTTCAACAGGGAAACCCTAAATTCAAAATTTTCAAAAAAACTGGGGACAAAATTGAAGAAAAAGTTGAAATCCATTACCTGTTTGAGTAGGGCAACCGATTTCCCGACGTCGGGCTCTGAGAGGCTGATGCAGTTCAGGGCCGTCGTCGTCGCCATTGCTATTTCTCTCCCTCTTACTCTCTCTCTAGTTTCTCTCTCTCTCTCGCTCTGTTTTCGGGTTTTTATTCGGAGGAGACGAAGAAAAATAAAGCGGCGGCAAATGGGCCCTTATGAATAAGGGAAGGAAAACGGTACATGCAGACCTTTTGCCACACCTCGGGTGAGGACCCCTCTCTTGCTACAGTATAAGAGGCCCGTTTAAGATTTTTTTAAAAAATCTAAAAATTTTAAGTGGGCCCCCTGTACTGTAGCGAGAGATGGGGGTGTGGCAGAGGATGTGCATGTAGCGCCACTCATAAGAGAAAAGTGGGGGATGATTAGCTAACAAGGAAAACTTCAGTTGCACACCCTAGTTGATTTTGATTTTGATTTTAGTTGATTTTCATTTTGATTTTCTATTAAGCCCTTTAAATTTAGTGGCACCCCCATAGGCTTCGAGCGTATCTACTCCTCTATACAAATGGGAGAACCTAAGATTTACTATTCATGATACAATAATGCTACAGTAACATTTATTTTGGTATTATTACTATAGTAAACAGGAACTGTATACCGTGACATTTTTTTGAAAGAATAACTGTAGCAAAGTAAAAATTTAAAAATATTACTGTAGTATTTAAAAATCAGGATTACTGTAGCGGGAAAAAAATGATATGTCGTGCTTTGTACAGTGTTCACGACTAGTACTTTATATATCAAGATGAGGGATTGAAGGATTTAGATCTTCTTAGGTACCAAAAATTAGTAATGAGAATATTATATTTTTAATTCTAACCGTTGATTGTTTAATAAATTTTTATGATTTTTCAGTGTAAATTAAGACTCGGTATAGTTCACCACATGACAAGAGTTACATTTGAAATGGATCACAATCATTCATAACAGTCCATTGATAACCAATGGATTCAATTAAAAACAGTAATCTCTCTATTACCTTTTTTATTTTAGCTGAAATAGTTCAAATCCCGAATTATAGCTAAATTCCTAGCACTTTTCCTGTGGGGAGGCAGAATACTGCCCTGGGTGGCGATTGCTCAACGGCCCACTGAACCGACCCGACTCTTCATGGGTTCGGGTTGGGCCATAATATTCTGTCGGTAGCAATTCAGTCGTAGCTGTAAACCATTCGAAAGTGTTTGAACAATTCATTAAAATATTCTCACAGGTCGGAGAAGTGCAACTTATAGTTACATGAATAATTGGCATTAGCTCCACATTATTTATTGTAGAACTTAGCTATGTTGTACCATCGATATAGATTATAGCCGAAATGATAATAATAAACCATAAATACTGTAGCAGCAAAAAGCAACTTGCAATACTGGCTCTTTTGGTTGTCTTCCTCTCCCCTGTGCACAAAACAATTGTTCCATTTAATCCATAAATGGTCCTCATAGTCATGAATAGCCCAAGTAATTTTTAATCATAGCAACTTTGTTTGATTGATCAGCTTTAATGTAGGGTGCTTTAGAAGAACTCAAAGATCAACATGTCGAACCATGAGATTTTGTCAAGAAAGATGAGCATCCTGGACGTGTACGCCTTAGGGGAAGGGGTGTAACTCAAACTATACTTCAAAACAAAGATAATTGCAAATCCATATGCATGATCATGTTCCAGAGTATATTGTTCAAGCTATACCATAAAAGGTTGAAAAGGAGATGACAAAAAAGTTTGAGGCATAGAAGGTAGAAATGCTTCATTAACGTTTCGCTGAACTCTTGACAGATACATTTGGACAAACTGATCCTTCAGGTATTGCAAGACTTTAGCACGCACAAGGTCTCTTGAGGAAGCTAATAGTTCCCCAGAAGATGTTCATGCTCATTCCTCTAGAAACCGTCAAAATCCCCGACACAAGGTAATTTTTACATTGTACTTGTATCTCTTTTCTACGTTGGATCTCATGCCTCCAATGTCACACATCAGTCTCTCCATATCGTCGTGACTGTAACAAGAATCCTCGTCAGGTTCAACACTAACACCTGCATCAACTCCAAGAGATCCTCGTCAGGTTTAACACTAACAGCTGCATCGACTCCAGAATTCCCTCGTACTTCAACTTCAGAGGTTCATCTAAACCTCCAGATAAAACCTCATACTCAATTTCATAATCAGATTCGTCAGCTGTTATTTCTTTCAAGAGCAGCACAATACCAATAGTGAGAGACTAAGTTGACATAGAACATTATGATTGATTGTAGTAATTCAAACTGTTGTAGTGTCATTTGATTGTTAACATTTGAAGTTCTTCTTAGCAATTTCCAGTGGCAAGGAAGCAGTTGGTAGCACATATATAGTTGGGTTTCGTCGTAATTGCAATTGGTAGAATTAAGAATAAACAGTTCATGGAGAATGATCAAGACTGTTGTTATGTTCTAGGTAAAAATAATGCCTGACTATGATTGATCAAAACAAGGTTGATAATCTAACCCAACTGTAGGTTGTGTGCTTAGATTCTCTTGTGACTTACTATTAGTATAACTTGAGGAGTTGTTTTCAAGTCTAGACTGAAAGATTCTTTCAGTATCCGTATCTGCAATCGATCTGTGCTCGTTACAGCTGATAGTTTTATTAGATGTTGTTGTGAAAACGGCGAAGGAATTGTGAAAAACGTGAAGAATAACTCAAAACAGACTCCACCACACCCTGGGTGGTAGAATCTGTCCTGCACCACACCCTCTGCCACACCCATGGTGCAGGGTGTGGCAGACTCGTTTTTAGAATCCCAATCAGTTTGGGATTGTGTTTTGCTATAAATAGAGACACGTTTTTTAGGGTTTCCTAGGCTTGGTTTAGGCTTTGATTAAGCATTGATTGGGGGCTATTTGGAGCACAAAAAGAGGTATTTTTGAGCTATTCGTTTAGGGTTTTATTTGGAGAGATTAAGAGTTTTGTTGGTGAGATTAGTTTGTTCCTTCGAGTGATTTGTAATCTCAGTTTGTACTCTTTCTCTATTAGTGAAAACCCCATCCCCCCTTGCCCCGTGGACGTAGGCAACTTGCCGAACCACGTTAAAATTGGTGTTTTGTTTGTGCATTGATATTTGGTTCGTTTGGCTCTCTTGGATTGGCGTTTGGTTTGGTTCCTCGACACAGCTTCAGGCACAACAAGTGGTATCAGAGCTCGGGCAACGCTTGGGTTATTTGGAGGAGTAGATCGCTTTGGAAGTTCATCTAAGGCTTCGTTTGGTGATAAAGGTGGGATCTTTTTAGTAAAAATCTCGTCTTTTTCAGTTTGGATCTATTTCTCGTTTGTTTCCGCATTGGTTTGGTGGTGTTTTGAGGATTATGGCCGAGAAAGAAGGAGTTGTGGGCAGTACTTCCGGCGTGAAGACCGTCCAAAGCTTGAATATCCACTCAATGAAGATTGATGTGGAAAAGTTCAATGGCACAAACAATTTTGGACTTTGGCGATGCGAAGTCATGGATGCGCTCAACGCGCAAAATTTGGAAGATACGTTGGAGTTGGACGGGAAACCGGACAACATTGATGAGAAGGTTTGGAAAAAGATGAATCGAACGGCGTGTGGTGTGATTAGGTCTTGTCTCACTCAAGATCTAAAGTATGATGTGATCAATGAGACTTCTGCAAAGAAGATTTGGGAGATCCTTGAGAGCAAGTATTTGACCAAGAGTGTGGAGAATCGCTTGCATTTGAAGAGGAGGCTTTACCGCTTCCAGTTGAAGAAAGGAACCTCCATTGGTGATCACATGAACCACTACACGAAGCTTCTTGCGGATTTGGCGAATGTGGATGTTAAGATTGAAGATGAGGACAAGGCGTTGTTGCTATTGAGTTCCTTGCCTGACGAGGAATATGAGACCTTCGTTCTTACTCTTATTAATGGGAAGGCATCTCTTTCGTATAGTGAGGTCACCGCTGCACTTGTGAATTATCAGCTTCGAAAGAAGGATAAGGAGACTTCGTTTGAGCCGGTAGCGGGGGCGTTGGTCGCAAGAGCAAAGGGTCCAAACCGTAGTGGGAGGTCGCAGTCTAGAGGGGCACATCTTGGAGTTCGTAAGAATCAATGTGCCTTTTGCAAAGAAGATGGACATTGGAAAGCCGATTGCCCAAAGTTAGTTGATCGAGCCGGGAAGAATAAGGGAAAAGCTATTCAAGCTTCAGAGGCGAATGTTGTCAAGGCTAGTGGCAACGATTCAGATTCGGATTCTTCGGGCTACTCGTTATCTGCACTGCCGTCAGTTTGTGTTGCCTACTCTACAGAGTGGATGTTGGATTCGGGGGCTACATACCACATTTGCCCTAGGAGGGATTGGTTCTCCAGCTTTCAGGAGTTGAAAGGAGGGGATTTCATGCTCATGGGGAATGATCACAAATGCTCTATTGGTGGTATCGGTACCGTTCGGATCAGGATGAGTGACGGGGTGATTCGGGAGTTGGTTGGAGTGAGGTTCGTTCCTCAGTTGAAGAAGAACATTATTTCACTTGGAGCTTTGGAGGCAGCAGCCTATAAGGTGACCTTGGCGGATGCACGCTTGAAGGTTACATTTGGGTCCATGATTGTGATGAATGGCGTCAGAAGGAGCAATTTGTACTATTTGCTTGGGAGCACGGTGATTGATAGGGAGATGACGACTTCATCAGATTCGGCTAGACTGTGGCATTGTTTGGTGCTGGGGTATATGATTGGTAATGTCGTGCATTGGTTGTTGAGGAGTGCTATGACCTGCAGATTGAAGTCCTGTGAGCACATTAGGATGAGCGAGACCGTGGTGGAGTTTGGCACTTCTATCCATCGAGCGAGGGGTCTTTTTGGAGGTGTTCAGTCAGGCATTTGGGGGCCTTCCAAGGAGGCATCATTGGGAGGTAATCGTATCTTGGTTTCCACAGTTGGTGATTGTTCTAGGCATTATTGGGTCGCGACCAGTTCCCGTTGGTGTAAAGTCCTAGAAGTCAACAACAATTGGAAGAAGTGTATTGGCAGAAAGGTAACTCATTGTTTCAGCTTTGGTAGGGGTCCTTTCTTGCGTTGGTGCCGAGCTCACGGCAATAGGAGACACTTCATTGGTGTGGAGACTTTGGGGCGACGAGATGAGATGACAGTTTCGATGGGTC